CTATAATCATATTTATATAATATCTATTATTATATCATTATTATTTATTTGTTATTTATGTCTTTTACATTATTCAATCATTTATATGTATTTGTATTATTTCTTTTCTAATTTTATCAGATATACAAATGGAAATGTATTTGTGTTATAAATTGATTAAAATATATATTTCATTTGTTATTATCTTTTGTTACATAATTAATAATTTATAATGTGTATTAATTCAATTTTCTTATATCATTACATAATATTTGTATATTTTATTATTTAATATACATTATTTCATTATTTTTGATTTACCTTTTCTTCATTCTCTTTATTTTATATAAAATTATTGAAATTATTTGTGATTATTTATTCTTCTTCTATTTTATAATATACTATTTTCTATAACTTCTTTTTATTTATTTCTTTATCATTTATTTCTATTTTATTCATTATTTATTTCTATTTTAAATATTTATTGTTATTTCTTATTTTATTATATAAATCATATGATTTATTTTCATTTTAATATTTTCTATCATTTCTATAGTCAATCATCATCACTTTTTATTCTATCTACCAATTAATGTATTAAGAATTATACATCTTACTGATATTAAATTATTTCATATTTATTTATCAATTCAATATAATCAATGTGAATTTTGATACTTCTTTATAAAATCAATCTCAATTATGAATATTTCTATACATTTAATATCTTCTTTCTTATTTTATTTGTATTATATTTATTATCTAATTTTGTATATTCTTTTATATTTCATTTCAAGATCATGGAATAAACATTCCAATTTGTGCCATAATAACACATAATCCAATCATTCTTAAATATGTTGATTTTCCTCCCATATTTGGTCCTGTAATATTTTGAAATCTTGTTTCTTTTCTATTAATATCAATATCATTTTCAATAAATGTATTTATACTATTATTTTCAATTAATGGATGTCTTGCTTTTTTAATTTTAATAATTCCTTTTTCACTTTCATTCTTGGTTTA